TGTTACTACTAGTAAGGCACTTGTTACTACTAGCGATGCACTTGTTTATAGTAGCTTCTTGTTACTACTAGTGATGCACCTGTTACTGCCCCGAACGTAGCTGTCCTACGGATCCAACACGACCAGTTTTGGAGATGTGGATTGCTGAATATGTGGATCGGCTTACAAGTAACACGTATGACAGCTGATCAACTCAAAACATTTGTTGAAGTGATATAATATGATTTGATTCAATCCTACCCCCCAAATTGGCACTTTGTGGTCATCTATTTGTCTTCAAACCCCACTCTGTCCTTTCCGGCTAATGCTTGAAGCGCCAAACGTTTGGAAGACGGGTCCTGAGTGTTGGCTTGTCAATGCAACCCAGCCGAGACCAGGCTTGTGTCAAGAATAATGCGGCAAACAATAATCAAAGTGTGCTCCATTGCTGGAAATGCTTTGAAATATATTCTGACTCATCGCCCGATCGTGCGTGTTTCTGGATATTAAAGAGACACCTGAACTGTCACGCCACCCCCTGGCGCTCGATACAAATCGATCCACGTCGTCGGTCTTTTCTCCTTGTGCATTCATAGATGTTCATGGAATTTTGTTGTATCCTTTCGAGGGTAGCTATTGGAATGGCATACTGGCATAGAAAGAACACAAAAGACCTTCTACGATATCTGCTGCAAGCCGAGACCCAGAACCCCAACCACCCCATCTTGTCTGTACTCCAAAAATCCCCTGCCATGTCTTGCTGGTTGACGATGGTCTTGAGTGCGTCCTCGCGATTTACTGGAATCGGGTGGACCTGATTGACACTGCCACAACATGTCCAACACATACTGTCACAGACCAAGAATATCAATGAGTTGTATGTATATCGAGTGGACATGTGTGAGGAGGAACCAGAGATTTTGGGGACATGTTTCCAGAGGGTGGAAAGTTTCCTGCAAAAGGTTGGCAATTTGGTACAGTAAATATATATTTATAACTGTACTGCAGGTTTTACACTGATGTGACATGTCTTGACAATTTTTGTGTGCAGACTGAAGGTAGTCTTCCCAAAACAATTGACCTAAATGTTCAAGCAAATGCTGCGTCTCAAAATACTTCCCTCGCGCACATGCCCTAGTCTTCAAGCTGCACCTGCACCCAACGCAACCGACTCCGATGATGATGTATCTATTGAACATCCTGCGCTCAGTTCGTGTCCAAGCTCCCCCCCTGAACCCCCCAAAGTCCAAACCCAGTCACAGCTGATCTTCAACGCGCACTCCTTAATAGCATCTCGAATCTGCTTGGTAGGTCGCTTGCCCTTACCATCATGTGCATAGTGGCAAAAGGCACACTGAGCCCAAGCGCATCCACGGCGACTGGCAAAGTAGACGCATGGGTTGCACCTCCCAGCATTGTGCTTGGCAAGACCTAGGATGCAAAATATGGCGCATGAAATATGGCTGTTGCTGCTGCTTGGCATCAGAAAAATACTCCCGGCTGGGATCCCTTGAGGCTCTTGAGATTTCAGGATTTGGAAACAAATGTGGGGTTCCTTCTTCTATCCCCCAGCCACAAATGCAATGTGTTCTTTGAGCGACTTGCTTGAGCGTCTCTTGTTCTTGTCTCGATTTGAAGGTTAGGCCCCATGTTCTTGACTTTCAGGCAACCAAAAGGCGTCGTTGCAGTGTTTCACGCGTCGCAAATGACTTGTCTGAGTTGCCCCCCTTAAGTGTCTTGGCAAGGACATCTAAACTCTAAACACGTCTACAGGCACAGGCACATAGATTGGGCACTTGTTCATGACACATGCACTTTTTCCACAAGGTCTTAAGGTAGTCTCCACTTTTCCGCCAGGTCGCTGTACGTTTCCCCTCGTGGGGTTGAAGTTTCACCTCCTGAGATTGAAACTCCGGTCCCATCACTGCCGACGCGGCCTGGCAAACCACCCGTTATCGGCAAACTGAATGCGTTCTCCAGGTCAGTGGGGTCGCCCATGGACCAGGAGCTGCACCGCTTGAACTCCTCCTCACACCCCAAAATGGGCACCCCAAAGCGGTGAGAGACGATGGTCTTGTTGGTGGGCCACACAAGCCAGTTTTCGGAAGCAGGTGGCCGCACCTGTATGTCACGGTGAATTTTCATCTATAGCGAGAATTGCTGTGGATCGTCTCTATCTTATTCTTCTTTGGCAACCTCGTTCTTCAAGACTTGGCACCGACACAAAGGCCTGGCCAGACTATTTGAGAGACACCCCAACTCGTTTTCCCCAGAGAAAACCCTCGAAGGCAGCTTCCCATGTTGGGTTTAAGATCACTCCAGCAGCGTTGCTTCCGCCGCAAGGCTTTAGGTGTGATGCCTCTGCTTTTCTCCAACACCCAGCTGATTTAAGGGTTCTATTGACAGTGACAAGGATGTGTATTATAACTATATATTTATCCCGTTGTGTCTGCGAATGGGACTGCCATGGAATCCATCAATCACTGTAGTATTAGCTGGTCGAAGCACAAACACATGCTGGTCGAATGACTGGTCCTGCGGAGCACCAAAATGGATGAAGGTGTGTTTGACCTGAATCTCATACTTCTCTTCCATGGCACCAAAGAGTTCCCCGAGCGTAAAGGACGGGCTGCTTGGGAAGCACGACGAGTCCAAGTCTAAAAACGGCTCCGGCGCTGTGTCCGTCTTCATCGTGCCGTTGTCATCGGTCGATCTCCAAGAGTTGACAGGGGAGATCGGATCGGCAGGTGTGGGCTGGCTATCTTCAACCTTGTGCAATCTGCTTCAGTGTCTCCAAATGTCTTCAATTGTCTTCACTTAAGCTTAAGCATACTGAAGCCATTGTAGGCTACTCTTCAAAGTCACACTCTCAGTACCTCACTGCTGAGGTGTCCACCTCTTCTTTGAAGACAAGCATCGAACTGGCATGGGGACCATTACTGTAAAGCCAATTCGTTTCAGTCTCCTGTCACAGCAGGTCCTTCTTTTGCGAGTGTCCCTTGAAGTCCCTTGCTTCTTCACTTGGCATCGATCTGCGAACCGAACCTAATGCAACTCAATACGCCCCAAGATCTGATTTGACGCACTTGCCCACCCGATTGGATGTTCTCCCAAAATTGCATCGGCGTCGATCATCAACATGCATCAACTATAGGCGGCCATATAGGAAGAACCACATCAATCAATATTAGCCAATTTCAATACAGTTTTCTAGGATCATCTTCTTGTTCTGGAAAACAAAGAAACACACCACTGGAGCTGGCAAGGTTGGAGCTGGCATGGGTTCCATCACCGTTGGCCGGCCACGGCCACGTCCACCAATGGCTGACCGATCGACGCCTCTGAAGTGACGTCCAGCTTCAAGGAAGGCCAGGAGCCGTTCCTGCTCCTCCGGACGCGGGTGGCGTACCCATTGACAGGGTCGTGCCTGGTGAAAGCAAAATGCAAGTGAGATGGGGGACGGGGTCATGGCACTCCACACATCTCTCACGGATTTCAATTTGTTTGGTGTTGCTCCCAGACACATCCATTTGCGTCCTTTGGCGTCTGTGAACCGATCTTTACTCCGACGGCAGCGGTCTCCGGTCTGCTCAAAGAGTGGTCTAGAGTCTAGACCAGCGAACCATTGGCACTTTTTCACCAGAACTTGATTTAGAGAGACATCAAAGATCATGCAGAAAACAGCGCCCGCTCCAGGGACCGTTTTCTGGGCCCTATATGATCCAACATTCTACAGTGCCCAATGACACCCCCTCATCTCCACTCCACCACAGCACTCCTCTCCCCCCTCCCCGACTCGCTTGTCGCTCCTGTACCTCTCCGGCGAGGCCCACGGCCAGCTGCGCCTCGCGCGCGAAGCGCTCCAGGCATCGACGCTCCTCCGCGTCCAGGACGGACCTCCAGGCACCGCCACGACCCCTCCGAACGCGCCAGCGGAAAACATCCGAACGGGTGCTTGTTTGGAGGGGGGTCGTAAAGGCGGAGGGTTGCATGTTCTCAAGCTGAAGGGCTGGTGGAGTTTTGTGTGGAGTTCCGTTTTGTCCTGGTGTTCTGTTGGATCCGCTCATCGAGATTGCCAGAGGTCCAACGGGTCACAACATGTCCTGGTGTTCTGTTGTCGAGATCTGTTGGCCTTTCGTTTCTTTCGCCATGAGAAGCATCAAACTCCAAGCATCTATTTGAGGTGAGATCAAGAAGCAGGGGGCTGCGCTGCAAAAGAGTGGACTTCCATATTGTACTCACTGTCTGGTTCAAACACAGCTAACCATTAACCCCTGGAAAATCTATGTATTGACGACGCTGAAAATTTACGTTAAAACACCATAAACATTATTCCTTTATATATATAGAACATTCAAGAGCCAAATGCCCAAACCTCTTGACAACAGGCTGACAATCTCCAGATCCCTGCTGCTGCGACACTGCAAGTCAGCTCGGCGAAAGACCTGCAGTTGTGGAGGTTGAAACCACATATCAGCGAACCTGCATTGACTGTTCCTGGGGGGAGATCTCCTGAGCTGAGATCGGGGGGCGTTGCAGAGATGTTGACCCATGTTGACCCTAAATTTTGTTGGATGCTTTAAACAAGTATATAGTATTATTCAGGTTTCAGGTATATTATGTATAATGTGTATTAGTTGATCTCAGTCTAAACCGATCTAATCAGCATGCACCATCCATTCAGCTAGAACGGTGGAACTTGTGACACTAGTCCGCCAATGTTTCACCATGTTTCACCTCCGGTGAAGAATGACAAGCTGGGCCCATCCAGACAGGAAGTCTGACAGACTAAGTCCTTACCACACTGGTGGCAGAACTACACCGAACTAAGCATCCTCCAGCTGCCAGAGTTCCAGCAATCACTAGACCCCTTTTTTCAGCGGTGCCCCATGCAAAACCATGAGTCGCGAGAAGTGCAATCTAGTTCATTGAGTTCATTTTGCGATCTCTTTGAAGAAGGTGATGCGGCTGCTGGTCAACCAATACAAAACCCACCTGGACCTCGGTCCAGCTGCCAAACCTCAGTCCACCCCAAGCAATTGCTTTCCCTGCTTACCCATCTGCAGTAGCTTAAGAAAGCAAATGGTACCTTTATCATATGGCACTTAGATAGGGATCTGTACAAGCCACCCAACTGAGGTCATTGTGCTGTCTACTCTACTCACAAGTTATCGAAGGCACGCCCAACCCCTATCATGCCCCTATGCCACTGCCTTCGCTCGGCCCGTGCGTGGCGGCCGCGCTGCCCGCGACAACGCGCTCAGCGGAACGCCGAGGAAAGCGGCCTGGCCAAAAGCAACCACAAAGCTTCTTGTGTTAAATGTACGGTGAAACAGCAAGTCTGATCAATCATGACGAATCCAATTCGCGCATCAGATGGGTGTACTGTTGTTTGTCTTCTTCAACCCAGGGGACAGAATTCGCACTTTCTGCACATCGTGCGACTCGGCTGGCGGCTGGAGCCCTCATGACCAAGCTGGTCAAAGAGCGCAAGGTGAAGATAGCACTGCAAAAGAAACAGTGCACAAAAGGGATGACCCATGTTCTCACAGGCCGATCTCAAAGGGTTTGGCACTGATCCATTCCCGCACCGAGGTTGCGTCCCCCTACCCCATTTGCCAGCCTTTGAGACAATCCGAAGGTAGAGACAATATGAGTGCGCATGGTTTTACCATGTTTTACCATAGTCGGGCTGGGAAGCTTGAATAACCAGGCAGAATGATTTGAGGGTTTCATTGGAAGAATATTGGTGAGGGTGTGATTCCCCATGCGACCTTATTCTGGCACACAATGTTCCAGGGTTGATTCGGTGGTGCGACTCGGAGGTATGAAATTGAGGTATGAAATTGGCACAAGGAGGTGCCAAAACATGACGAAAACATCGTTTGACCATGCAAAAAGGGAGAAAAAACAACATCTGTGTCTAGTCTGAGTCTAAACCCTGAACGAGTCTGCGTCGTTTTGACCGGCCACACGGAAACCTCTCCGATGTTCATCATCCGGTCGCCTCTCCGAAGGCCAGGAAGTTCGACGGATTCGTCGACGGACTCGTCTCGGTCTTGCCCCTGAGCGAGCAGTGGGGAGGCCACCGAGTGCAGGGCGACGTTGAACTATTGAACTGCAAAAGGCCCGTCTTGGGGAAGAAAAGCGAATATAGCGCAATTGAACGGGGCATTTGAATGGTTGTTGGGCGGCAGCCGCCTGGGTTGCACATGATAGTATTCTCGTCTATAATTATAGTCAGTGCATGTATATACTGTATTTATATAATAGGAAAACCCCGCAAAGACCTCTGGGAAAGTCAAACAAGCAAAGTCCATGGGTGGGAGGTCCTGCCATAAAAATACACACCCACTTACACACCCATAAACGTGATTTCACACCACATCACACCACAATGTTCAGCGCCAGCTGAGCACGAAGGGAAACCGCAGGTTCTACCTTCGAATCCGGCATTGGGTTATGCAGCCACATCCACATGTCCCATCCAAGCTACAACACATGAGGCAATGATATACAGTAACTGTATCTAGATACGGGGATCTGGCAGGGAACCATGAAGAATATTCTTAGGAGGGAGTGTCTTCTCAGCATGTTTTGAGATGTTCTTCACTCCAAAAGCTCTTACTTGTAGAACTTTCCGTTCAAGGACTTGCTGCGTGAAGTGTTGGACGGCTGCTGTAGCACATCCCCAATCGCTTCGCAACTCGACCTCGCTTCCGAACCCGCTGCTTCGACCTCACTGCCACCCGGGGCCGCCCGCTCCAGTAGAACCAGCGAATCGGCCTTCGCTCGGCCGCACCAGCGAAATCGGCCGCACCAGCGAAATTCAGACCCCGAACCGGACCCGGATGAGCAAGTGAGTGAGTGCGTGAGTGCCATGGACTGGAGGGGTCCTGGTCCTTCTTCTACCAAAATGCCCACTCAGTGGAGCCGTTCAGCTAGGTTCAATGAAGTGAAAAGGGCTCAGCCATGCTCAGTCAATGCATTTCCCCGAGTCTTAGACACGCTAGAAGGCCCGTGTCAAGCGTTGGGTTAGAACCGTTCCTCGGCAGGTTGCATACACTGAATTCACAAGTAGACTACCCAAACAAAAACGAGCGGAAATTTGCTTAGCTTCCTCTGTCAAACAATTGTTTCTGACGACTTCTCAAACTTGCTTCCAAGATCGGCAAGCCTGCATCAATCTCAAACTGCATTGTTCAAACACCTCCCTCCAGCACCAAATGGCATGAACCGGACCAGGGTCTCTAATCTCCATCCCATCGAACGCCACGAGACGCTGGCGGGGAATGCCATCCCCAAGCGTCCAAAGGACGGCGGAGCCCCGTATCACCAAGAATCGCCAAGCTCAAGACTCTTGCCACATACATCTATCATGTATATTACCCTATATACATATCATTGTCTATTTATCCATTTCTGCACACCACAGGAACTGCTGCTTCCCTGGAACTTCTGGTTTTCCGCAGCTCAACCGCTTTGGTCTTTTGATGCATCATCTCCGGCAGTCATAGTGTCAAGGGAGTCAAGAGTTCCTCATTCTTCCACTGAACCTACAAAAGAGATCAAATGAGCAAATGTAGGTTGAGTGGTCAATTGATGCCTGTGGTCTTGTGTAGGTCTTATGCCTGCGGTCAACTCCCAAGTTTCTTGAGGCTAAAGTCGCCATCCCGCTAATCCATAAGCTCTTGGTATCGCCAGATCGTCATACTTCATGGGTGGCATGTCTTCAACGAGCAGACTTGAAGAGTTTAAACAGATTTGAGGTCCATTTGTCCCGGCTAAGGCGACAAAGGATTGCAAGTGCACTTGCTTGCTAACCTTTCGGGGGGCAGTTTGGTGTATCTCCTGATACCCCTTACTCCCTTGTCTACTCCGACAGGACGGAGAGTTGCTCAGACAGGGCACCACGGAGACGGGGCACCGGGAACCCTGATTCGGCCACGACGTTGCTGGATGTCCTCATGACGTGACTCAACTTACCTGACGTCCTCAGGGCAGGTCCTTGTCAAATCACTTTCAGCACCGTTTCAGCCGAAATCCCATTTGTTGGGAGGACAAATCGTCTTGGCGGATCGGCTCCCCTCACAGTTCGGCTCCGCGCTGTGTCCGCGGACGAGCCTGGCTGAGGCGATGGAGGGGAAAGCTCCTGAGATCTATCTACGTACAAATCACCATGGCTAAGCCTAGTTGCGCCAAGCCATGTAGAAACCCAATGTTTGCATCTAGTCGTTTTCATTCATACCTAGAACCTCGCTCATATAAAGGCAATACTTTCCAGCCAACTTCATTTAGGCAGAAGCTTCCGCCCGTTTCCCTAAAGAAAGCCCAAGGCTGTTCAGGAGGCCTTGAATGAAACAGCTTTTGAACAAAACGCTTGCCACCTACCGCTAGTCCCCAGCCTAAAGTATATTAATTGAAATTTGTGTGACTCAATACCCCCAAAAAGGCTCCACTCCTTTGTCCAACCCAATTACTGACAGTAGCGAGGGGGAACGGGTAAGACGCTCAAAAAACGGGCAAGAACACCCAAGTAAAGGGTAACCGGAAGAACACCTACGCAAAAAGAAAGCAAACTAACAAAACATAGAAACACTAAAGCAAGCAAAAGTGAAACATCAAGTATTACTGTAAATTTGTTTAATCACTATATGGAAAATGTCTGGAACAACTGGTGGGTGGATCCTCATCTATTTAAGCATTGCCGCCGAGGACAGGAACAACTATAGAGGGGAGAACGCCTACAGGGGGCAAGAACGCCTAAGCACCAACAAAGGCGCCTTTACGCAGAATATAGGTAGACATTTCTGACAAAAAATTGCAAACAAATTGCTATATTATCCTGTGGCGGAGTGTCGCGAGGGTTGAAAGACACTGGTTGACCCAAACTTAGGACGTTTGTGCGATTCACCTGCTTTGGACAGCGCACAGCCCAAGGTGTTAGCTGATGAATCGATGGCATGAACTGGTTGATGTGTTTTTAAACTTAGTCTTTCTCCATGCAGATTGGAAATGGACCAAAGGATATCCAGGAAATGCCATAAATTACTCATGCAACACTTATTCTTCAGTGACTGAGGCGACACCCAATGCGTTCGTATTGATGAGTTGAAGGCTGTACTGTTCCATGTGCCCATGGGTTCCATGTTGGTCCCACTGCGGTTGAAAGCGAAGACACACCGCTCGCGTTCCGCTGTGGAAGTGGGCACATCAAGCGCAAACTGAAAATCCACTACACAAGACCCCACGTGAACTCCTCAAATGGGTGAACTCCGGCTTATCAGCTGGCATATGGAACGACAAAAACATGGTAGGGACTTGACGAACGTCCCAACAAAAACAGATATCATGTTGCTGACATTGGCTTCCATTTCCGTGATGGCTTTGGAAAAACCACCCAATGACAATATCCTTGATAAACTTGGACTTCCCTGCCCCGCCTGGCCCGGCAGCTTGGATAAGGCCGCCTGGCGCATGCAGACTGGAGTCCAGGGTTTAAGCGACCACCAACAAATCAATCCAGTTTCATGCAGTTTCCAGTTATTAAGGCAAATACTTGCATGTTGTATCTATTTGAGCGGTGTCAAAAACCGGTCTACGATCTGTTATACTGATGACTTGTTTCCGTGACCTGAGTTTACAAGTTTGCTTAAACTGTTTGTGGGAGGTTTTTGACGCTGCTCATTTGGGTATCGCATCTGCAGTTTCAAGGTCCCATTCAACACCAATGGATAATCCGTTGAAAAAGAGGGACTGGCCCCCAGAAAAGTACACGCTTTGGTCCAAATCCATGTCACAGACCTGCAGGTGTTTCACAGACCGAGCACTGAAAGCACAACCACACGGGTTTCGAAACGTACTTTCCCCACATCCATATGGTGACAAAGTAACAAAAGAGGTTTGGAACCTGCTCATTTGCCCATGCACTGGTTCACCCACCCGGTCACTAGGTGGCCTCCAAGGCATCTCCTGCAGCAGGAGGTATGCCTGAGAGAGCACGCCACTTGCCTCCTCCATGGGTCCCACAATCCAAAACAAATTTGGGGGAACACTATGGGATATGAGACAAACTTGGTGGTCAACATCTGGAGACGGTTGGAGCACTTGCTGTTTTTATACATGTATGTATGTATGTATGTATGTATGTATGTATGTATGTATGTATGTATGTATGTATGTATGTATGTATGAATGGTTCCATTACGTTCAAAGCCACATCAGCCAATAGTTCTCCAACAAAACTGTACGTATGTTATTATGTTACCGTATCTTGTATAAGAAATTCGGCAACCGTCTCAAGTATGCAGAAAAAGAATGCGTTGCCACCTGAGGTTTCTGCATGTTCCCTTTTCGGATGCATTACACAATAATGCCTGCTAGTTAATTAGCCACATTAGCCTAGAATTGAGATCTTGCTGTACAGTAATTTGTCGTTTGTTGTAGACTTCCTCTTGTGTGCAAGAAATGTTGTCCACAGGTGTAAAGGCACGGAAGAAGAACAATCACTGTAGTAATTTTCCTCGGAAAACACTGGCCATATAATGTTCATACATTTCTTTTCACGTTGCTTCAAACGCTGCTTATAGTGTCCCCACTCAAAATGAACACATTTCAATTATGTCATATACCCTTAGAAATCCAAATGTGATGGATTGGTTTTCCCAAGGTCTTTGCGAGCATGGGCTTTGGAATTTTACTCTGTTCTTTCACCATGAAAATGGGAATCTGCCAGCATCAGGGAGAAACGATTCTGGCCTCTGTGCAATTGATTTTCAAGGAGACAACCCGATGGTCTAGCAACGTCCCCGTCTCTAGCTGCACGCCCTGAATCTGGACTTGCCAGTCTGTGCACCCTCCTATTGGAGCTGATGCCCCGACCCATTCAGGCGATTGAAGAACATCGGAAAAAACCGACATCGCATCACAAATTCTGCACACATACCTTGAAGGGGAAAATAGGTCGGATGCGCAGTTCCAGAACACTGCGTCTTCTTTTTCAGAAAGGAGCGCTGTGAGCGTGTGTTTTTCATATAGATGTGCTTCTTGCAAATACCAATCCTGTAGAGGAATAGCTGGCCCTCACTCCAAATACCAAAAATAACAAAAATACCAAACATGCAAAGCCTTAGGTGGAAATACTTTGGATAGTTGGAAATCTTCACCTCGTAGGAAATCAATCTCTGGAGTGCAGCGGATACATGGTTCTTCCACTGCCTTGAAACGAGCTGTGCCATCAGGAGGCTTCTTCCCAATGGAATCTTGCCGGCGCCAGGCTCCCCAAGCATGACCAATGCTGAATGGCCAAAATCCCAGATGTCTTCCAAAATCTGAAGCAACCATGGATGGTAGTACTTGATAGTCAGTGGAATAGGCCATTGATATTCCTTTTTGGCTAAAGCGCCATCTGTTGCCAGATTTCGAAGGGCCTTCTCTACTAGACCAATAGGCCACCCATAGATGGGAGAATCTTTGTTGCGAAGTGCCTTTGTTTGCCATCGAAGTTTTTTGCACTTGACATGTAGATCGAGGACCGAATTTGAGGATATAGTCAAACCCCGCGTCAATGTCCTCATCCTCCTTATCTTCAAAAGGGATGGCCTTGGATCCTTTTACAGCAGCTTGGGATGAGAGCTCGGAGATGATGAACTGCCGCCCGCCCAACCCCTCAAAGGCATATTGCAAGATCTTACGGCCAACCTTTGGATTTGCGTTCATCCACTTTGGCCTGTAGGGGGTGCCATAGACAAGCTGATGGAGCATGGATATCTTACCAAAAGGGGCTGGCAGAAGCTGCAAGTCTTGCTTGTCACAAGCTTCTTTGTACTGGCGCCCCAATGCATGGAAGTCAATGTCTTCCTGATGATCATAGATGATCTCGAAGCAGTGGACTAGAGGCTGGTTTGCGGTTTCAAGCTCATTGGGAGAGATGCCAAGTCAAAAAGACCATGAGGAAGCTCTGGTGTGACATTGGGTGAAATCGTGCGACATGTAAGCCCCTCGACAATCTCCTTCAGGTCTTCGTAGCTCAGGTCTTCGCCAGCTACAGGCATGACCAAAGATCAGGATGACACGATTGACTTAAGTGCAGAAGACTACCCAGAGCAGCTCTCAGAAGGCGATTGATGGATTTCAGATGAATGCAAATTTATTTTACAATCATTTTATGCCAATATTGCCAACATTGAGAAGATGGTCCAAACTCAGAGTTCATTCATTTGAATCATAGTACGTTACAGACAATAGAAGACAGCACTGTGAGTATGTGTATTTCATCTTGCTAGGCTTCCTTGCTGTTGTCTATAAACATAGCTATGTTTACTGAAAACACACACGCTCACAGCCCTCCCCTCTCTATTTTTTTTATGCATGCCGCTCGCTCGCGCGGGGGTGAAATCAGGTCTCCGGATTCGAATAACCTGTTCAGAGGATGAACAACAGGGATTGTGTTATAGAAAGTCTATGATCATGATGTGTGCAAATCTATGATACATTGATATAGTATGATATACGTATATCAGTAATTATATTGGCTGTATATGTGTTGGCCACGTGTTGCATTGTTTTCAATTCCGTCATACATTTCCACGCAATTGTGTCACATAAGAACACACACACACTATCAAATTTAATCAATTTTACATAGATGTCAAGGTGCCTTTTACCAACTTGCTTAATCTCATTCTACCAGGCACGCGCTATAGATAAACATATACCATGATAAAGCTGAAACTACCCAAATCTTGGAAATCTCAAAAAACACCCACAATCTAAATTGTGAAAAACACAGCAAATACAAATACAAACAATATATATATATATATGTATGAGGGACGGTCAAAACTCCTTATTATTCTTCAGCTAAAAAATGGACGTCATCGGTTTTGAGGTGGACCTTATCGTTTTACAGCGTTTTGAGTTCGTCGCATACTTATGACCATATACAGCGCTGGGGTTATCGGTTTTGAGGTGGACCTTATCGTTTTGCAGGGTTTTGTGCACAAACCTACCCCTCTTTACTAAAGTGGTCTTCGCATGTTTTAACCGTGGCTCATATGTTTGCTTAAGACTCCACAGCCCTTGTCCGTCCGATCCACACCAACAGCAAGCTGCTCTGTGGGAAGTCGATGTGGAAACGGATCACCAGCTTTCCAGCGGTTGAAGGGTCCTGGACAGGATGGCCCAGCCATTCGCGAGGCTCCACGTTCTCTCAAATCGTAAAGCCTGAAGTGAAGGAAAGCCCAATCCAACTTCTGTTTTTGTATGGCCCAGTGAATGGCCCAGTGAATGCCAACGCTTCTGCTTTTGCAGGTTTTTTAATTCTGTTGCAGTGGCCCAGCATGGCCCAGCACATCTAGGTAGATGAATGGTCAGACTGATGGCCCAGCGTCTGTGGGTCTGAGCCATGCCGTGTGTCTATGCGACATCCAGGCACCTATGCTCCAACCCCGAGCGGCTCGCTGGCACTTGTGCGAGCTCGATCAGCGATATGCAAGTCAGGATGCTTCCAGTAGAGAGCTGCTATAGAACCACATAATAAGAGACGTCGATCTATTTACCCGCTAAATGTTTAAAGACATGCTTCACTTGCTGGGATCATCTGTCTTCTTAGTGGGCCACCCTGTTTCGAATATCGTCCCCTTTCTCGTCTTCTCCTCCTTGTGGGGCATCCCCTCACCCTCGATCTGCAAGGCTGATCCCGGCTTCAAGACCTTGGACCCAGCGGTGTTCAGCACCGACCAAAAACACCGACGATGCATACATAGGATTCTGTAGGTGCAAAAATGCACCATGAGCCTGCACATGGGGGTATAGGCTATTTAATGATTCAAGTTACATTCACCAATACATTGGGGTGATATCGAACGATCATGGCAGTTTTGACATATAGCATGTACCCACATCTATGGCCGAAACGCGGGAAGCCTAGTTAGTTGAGATCACCTTTCGCGTCTTGGAACCCGTAAAGACACACGTGACCTTCGCATGAACAATCATGTCCGACTTGCATCTCTGGGACCTTTTTGTGGGTGGCATGGTAATCCAAGTGAGTCCTTCAGGCCAAGATCTTCACGAACAGCAGCTACCTCGGATTAAAACAGTCTCGTATACTAAACATAATGTATATAAAATATGTATTATGCAGATTCATTCAATAACAACAAACTCGCTGGAGATTGCTGCAGCATGATCTGAGCTGTTGGGGACACATCACTGTTGAACACAAAACCGCTGCATCCGGAGATCTAGGTGGCGAGCATCCGAGTTTCACTCCTTCCCATTGAAAGACAACACTCACCCGCTTCTCCTCTTGATGAGCGAAACATCATGAATCGACCCAGAACTACTCTGGGTGAGGTCTAATTATTCCAAAAGAAGCGCCGCCGTTTTGAAGACCCCAGCATTTGGTTTGGCTGGATCTTTTTGGACGTGACTCTGGACCACCATGTACATGCTGAAACACAACATCTGGACCACTCCAACGTCCCTGTTTCCCGCTGGTGACGTGGAAACCACTTCGTCCGACTTCGTTCCCTTGGGTGCCCCTGGCGTCCCCTCGCGGCATGCTGAATCGCACCACATGTCCGTCGAGGTGGACGAGCTGACGCTCAAAGCCCAGCAACGCCTGACCGCGCGGTGTGTGCGCGGCTTTTCAGGGTGTTCACGATCATCTGTTGCTGCAACATGCTGCCCAAACGAGCCACGCACAGTAACCCATGACCCAACAAAAAATGGATTGGTTGGAGAAAATGATTTGCTGAAGCATTTCTTCTACCTTGAAACACACCTATGCAGGCTATAATATAAGTTTGTACTATCCTGGCGCCTGAATGGCTCCAGCCCGCTGGGTTGTTGGTGTCTACAATGCTGTGCTACTGTCCTTTTCTTGCAACTCAAGATCACTACTGTAATCCTTGAGCAAGTTCCTGGAAGGTTGTTAATATTCCCTACAGGGGACGTTGCAAACGTTTGGTTTCCAGCTGCTCCCCGGAAAAGCCTTTAAAGTATCGGAAGCCGGGGACTGAATAATTACGGTATCAACATTCCACTCTTGCGTTCAGCATCGTATAGTTGGTCGAATATGTTGTCGATGTCTTGTGATGTCTTGTGCGAATAGGTCAACTGCTACGGGTTTGAAATAGTGCAGTATATGTAGGGTAAAGAGCTACGGCGCATCATGGGGCCTGCTGTACTTTGAACCACTTGCAAGTTAAGTATATATAAGAGTAGAAAGAAAGCTGGAGAAAGAGTGACAGGAGTGTTGTGCGCAATCTATGTGGCTCATCTATGCAGCAAGAAGAGGAAAATAGATAAGTGATAAGTGAGAAACAAAGAGCCGTACATAAATAATCATAAATATCCCAGAGTAAATAATCTGACCACATGTTCTGTAAGTAGCATATTCACATAAACATTATAGCCAACACTGAGCACACTGAAAGAAAGAAAGGTAAACTACAAGAAAGCAACCACTGCGGCGCTCAAGAAACAGTCACAATGAAACAAAACACACACTCGGGATAAGAGTTCCTACGAAAGGCCACCAAGTGCCTAGAAGAAGCCTGCCGGAAAAAAAACGGCCTGAGTAAAACAGAAACAGTAATAATTGTACTTGAATCATCTCAAAGATTCCAAGAAGTCCAACCAGAAGTCACAAAACTCTGCAAGACACCGTGCACTGCCGAGTGCATGACCGGTGCAAAGGCTGGCGATCTTGTTTTCGTTCAAAGCAGGGACCATATAAGGTAATCGCAGCAGGTACGTCCGGCTGATCAGGGCAAATATCAGCACTGAGCTTGATCCTCTTCGCTTAATTGCATTATATAACATCGACGCGGCAGCTAAGACATGCCAAACCATGGGGTCCGCATGCGCCCACGCACACAAATGCGCGTCAGGATGAACATAATACGTAACCAAGAACAAGGTTACGAATCCATTCTGTAGCTACAGTGATAATTTGGTTACCGTATCTTCTCCAGCGGGTATATTCTAACTGTACACTGTATTCTCCGTCCAACATCAAAAACCATCAAGCATCAGAACGATATATTCTGACTGCACCTCAAGCAAACCAAACACATCGAGCGACATCGAAAATAACCACTGCGTTTAATACTGACGTTGAAATTCTGACTGCCAGTCCCTGGTATCCCTGACACTACCGCCGGACGTCCGGTCCGGCCGTGGCCTCGGAAAGGCTCACGTGCACATCGGCCATGAGATCGTCGCCCAAACGTTTGAAGACTGGACTCTTTCGCACCTGCCGGATCGCTTGGTTTGGCGGAACCGACATCCATGCGGCAGTTTTTGTGGCGGTGAGTGGGTCGATCAGAAGGTAGATATTCATTTGGGATCATTTGGGGAACCTAAGATGAAAGCGGAACATCGATGAAATATGATGAAATCGATTGGTAGCGGCGGAAGCCCTCCAGTCAGAAGAACCCGCCAAGCTTTTCTCGAAACCCATCGGACATGGCTTTGAGGTAGCTCGCACAGGGGCCAAAAGGGGTTGAATAAGGCACTTTGCCAATGCGGAAACTTAGCGGCTCGCGATTCCTGAATAATGTATATATATATATATATGATTATATTTGCTATTTGCTAGTAGAATGCCTGATGAAAGGGTTGGCACGAACACTGTGGCTGCAAAACTGTTCGATAATGTTTTTGTGATCTGGCATTGGGATATATTGGGATCAATAAGACTTTGGGGAGTACAATGCCGAGGGTTCTCCCACATCGTTCAGGTCCATTCAATAAACACGTCCAAAAAGCATTATCATGGAGTTGACTGACTGTTCGTTTGATAGCCTTTCATGCCTAGACCGTTTGGTTAGGTTGCTCCTCAGTATCCTAGTCGACAAGGAGTTTCTGCTGCCTGTATGACTTGATCCATAAAGAAGGGAAGTGAGAGGCTCTTGTGGAATACCGTTGTCTTGGAAGCACATTCAACCCAAAATAGGTTCTCTCTGAAGAGACGCACCTTGATGGTGACAAGGGCATCCCCTGCGCATTTGGGCAATGCCCGCGCGGCGTCTTGGGTGACTTTCTGGAAGAGTCGCTGTGATATTATATGTGACACTACCCCTCTGAAACAATATGACTTGGCGGAATTTCAAAGTCCTGTCTGTAGAGCATGATGCGTGCCTCTGACTATCTCACAAAAAAGGAAAAAATAACACATGTTGAGCAAGGACACAATTAAACAGCCAAGATTGCGAACAGAACGACCTTTATGATTTAGTTCTCTTGATGCATTGAACGCCCTGCATAACATGGAAGTGCAAAGCCATCAGTGAAGTGCAAATTAGCAGAGATAGACACGCCTGGGATGTGCTTTGGAAGCTGGCTGCCCATGCTTGGAAAATGTGCTCGGTCACCAAACCTCACGTTTTGGACCAGGAAGAAGCGGAGCGATGCAAACGCGGAGGCCTTGAGACAAACGCACTGGCACTGAAAGGCCCACCGAACGGTCAGATGGGTTGATCTGATCTAGTCTTCACGAACACGACATTTGATTGGGCCAACAGTTGTTGGTCTTGAGAAAAACAACGTAACACAGTACAGTGAAGGACACAGAAGGTAAGGGCCTCCAAACAACGAGGCTCCTCTAAAGGTCTATATAAATTATTGCCTTTTTAAAGGGGACCCTTACGTGCTTTTACACTATATATAACAATAGAACCCTATATGTATTATATATTCGCACGTCGCACTATACTATTCACTAGACAATATAATATATATATATGTATTACATATTACAGAATATCATCAGTACAGCATCGTGTTTTTTCGAGAATGCCCACCTCCATTCTGGGCCCCCACATGGTGCCGCGCTCGATCTGCAACTTCAACTTCTGTCGATCCCAGGTGCAGCGCTCGTCGCTGGGCACCTGTGGGCGATGTTCGCGCCGACGAGGAACCGTGGGAACCCCCTGGGTGGGTCGAGCCGGACAATCCTGACATTTGTGGGAAGCAACGGTTTGGATGTTTGCACCTGTTGGATCTTGGAAATCCGGAAATCACTGCAGGTCAACCTGTTTCCACCTGGATTTGAGTGGCTTTCACATGCTTTCACCAATACCCCCGAAAAGCTTTTGCATATGATCCACTTCTCCTGGGTGCAACAATTGAACTGTGGCCTTGAAGGTCCCCAATCCACAGGCCATTGCTACAGCCTTTGTACGGGTGATTTGGTCGCTGGCCCCCTTCGTGGCTCAGCTGATTTGACAGATGGAGCGAGCCGAGTGAGCTGCTCAGTTCTGGACATGTTCGCCCGGGCGCATCGATCACGTTTTAGTGAGAAGAAACAACTGAAAAGCACTCTGGCGGATGAGGGCTGTTGTGGGTCGTTGCTGTAGAAAAACACGGTGCATCTCCAGCAAATTCAGGATCCGCAAACAGCGAAGTCAGTGAAGTCATGTGGCACGAAAAGGAGGTCTCATTGAGTGACATGGAGTGACGATCGGATTTCAGCACCTAACCCACGGAACCTGATCAAAATGCATTCAGCAGCTCATCTCTTCACAACCCTCTTGTGACTCTCATGTTACATGTTGTTGTCGTCGTCAGAATCAGTAGACTCATGTACAAGTAGACTCCCTGGCACAATAAACTCATCAGCTATCCCAAGCGTCCCAGTTACCGGTTGGGGTGGGGCAAAACGCAAACACTCTCACACACCAAATCCGCCGCCAGGAATCCCAAACTGCAATGAATTTGGTTCCGGTGATTCATATGATGTTGCTTTCCCACCATATATAGAGATATAGAGCATTATAGAGCTCTCTGTGGCTTTCTAAAGCATTTTGTGGATGCAAACCTCATTGACGGATGTGAACTGAGCTCTCTCCCGACGGGTCCTCCATGTGAGGTACCCTTCAGTCACCCCGGGAGACGTCGCCTCGTACTCCTCGATACGATAATGCCACCTCGGTGGACCAGGCGAACAAGGAATGGGCCGAGGTGATTGACATGTATTGGATTTCCCAAAATGGGATCAACATTGATATTTCGCACATCTGAGGATCTCTGCTTTCTGTTGACTTATAAAGGGTGTCTCAATATCCATGTGGAAACCTTTTGCGAACCTGTCTAATGAGAAGATCCGAACTTGTCGCTGGACCTCTGAAAATCTCGACGCCAGAAAGCACGGGACGCCGTCGCGAACACCAAGCCTAGAAGAACTGGTTCATTTGTCTGTGGTTGTTTGGGACAACTAGAACGACTAAGCCGTCAAAGTTAAAAGTTCACAAGCTACCTTGGATCGAAAAGGCCCTGAATGTCCTAGGCAGTTCACAGTGACCCGTAGAGGCAATTTCGCCTGTATGATGCTGGAGGCCGACAGTACACCTTGAATCAAGTTCATCTTGAATCAACCCTAGGCATCCAAGACCATTCAAAGAAAGGTTGACCTGGTTGCGTAGTGTAAAATCATTAGTAACACAATGGTAGTTCGGTAAAAACAATTAAAACACTGGTTGTTGGAAGCCTAGGGTCAATATCAACTTGCCTGAACACGTGGAAGGTACGAGTTCCTGCCAAGTATCATGCCAAGAAACTACCTTTCCTGAACAACGCTAATCCACCATCACTCCACTAGACTCCACCATTTCTCCACTTCGATGACATAACCAGTAGCCTTGAAAATCCTAACTGAAGCCACATCACCTCACCATCTTCAACCCGAAAGCCTTCGCCAAAGGGGCTGATCCATCCAAACCTGTCGCTGCCGCCGCTCTCCGGGGCAGGCTTGGCACTTGCGGCAGCGCGGCAACTCGGGCCGCAAACGGCAAGACCTGGACTGAGGGAGCGAAGAGTGAAGAGGGCCATGGTGGGGCCATGGGCCACGAGTGGAGCCACGGATACACCAGGTGGTTCCAAAATGATGCACAAATGCACAGGTTTCCTTTGCTGGGGTCTCCTTCGAGTTTCTGCTTGTGAGTCCAGTCATCCTTGCGGACGTTCAAAACACACAACTAAACACACCATCCAAATGGGGTTGTGGTACTCAGGTTCAAATCAAGAGGCGGCTCTGCGGCTCTGTGGCTTCTTGAGAGTAGCAAACTGAGTAGGAGATGGTTGCTGGACATGTGCCATTTAGAGTGGTGTGCCATAGTACTGTCACATCTCATGTGTTCCTCGAAAAGGCCAGCAGGTCATCACACTAATTGGTTTTAAGGCCAGTGGATCAATTGCCTCACACCCTTCAGACCTACAGCTTGTCGTGGTCCACGCCCCAAATGCATGGAGAATCCGGAGATGGGAAAATCAATCACCATAAATCATCCATCACAAAAAAGCCTCTCTGCGTGACACCCGTCTTCGGCTGTCCTTTTTCGGAACCTACATGTCTCGGCTTCTTCGAGAACTGCATCATCTATCTTTATCCTTTTATATATATACTATATATTACGATATATAGTAGCGCCCTCGTTCCTAGTAAGTAGTAATGCCAGGAGCTACTAGTAGCGTCCTTGTTAGCGATGCACCTTGTTACTTAGTAGCGATGCCCTTTGCCATGGACGCGCCTGCAAACCACGCGGCGGTTCACCGTAATCTCCTGCAGGCGTCCGTGGGGCGTCGGGTCCATCGTGGTTGGGATTCCAAAAACAGGAGACGATCCCAAGGGGTTGTCGTGAACCCAGTGGGATGGGTTAGAGATCCCAAGAGGACAAGCTTACTTGTCCTTTATAATTCTGAAACTTCTCAGACTGGAGAACACTTCCTTGACCATTTTCAGCTGATCCTTGGCTGATTCTGAGTGCTCATTGTGTGCTCTTGGTTTGATCATTCCCTTTTGTCCTGGGCCACTCATGCTTTCATATGCCGACGGCGTCCTTCTCGCCTCCCTTGTAGGCCTCCTCCAAACTAATCTCGTGGTTCACCTGGCATGGCCGGTGCAGGTGCGCTAGCAAGAATCGATGGGGGAGGCGTTTGCCCGTGGTGTTAGTGTTTTCTCTACAGGTCCCCCGGCGGTCCCCTTCACCTCCGGCGCAAAATCAATTCAGCTAGGGAGAGAGGGCCCTCTGGAAGAAGTCATCTTCACAAGACACCATGTCGTGCCGAAATTCCCGGGGAAGAATTCGTTCATGCCATGCACAAAGGGTGACCTGCATTGTCCTCTACAGTGCTAAACAGCATGCAGCTGGGTTCCGGGATGCATCTGCTATCCGGCGCAAGTAAGTAAGGATCAAAAACATCCAAAAAGCTGAAATCTTCGAATCCCGCAGTACAAAGACGAACCTCAAATCGATTCCTCTCCCAAGTTCAGTCTCATCAAAGCGGTTGAAGGAGCCGAAGCGGCTAAACGAACATCGATTCGATGTCACCGCCGAACACCTCGAAGTTATCCACCCGCTCGATCTCGCCGTCTCCATCTGGCGGTGAGAAATGCTGAGGGTGGCAGTGGAGGGAAGTGGTTTTCATCTGCCACAAGTTAACACGGTGGGTTGACTGTTTTGAGCTCAGAAGAAAATCAATGGTGAACTATTTTGTTCATGTGTGGTGGGGCCCACATCAACATGAACATTCGACATCCCGACTCTAAACCGACTTGGATTCCCTGTTTGTTCTGGCTCTGCAAAAGTTTCTCGTTCTATGCAAAAGCCCGTGAAAGTGGAAAAGGAATGGAACATTAATCATTAGCTGCATTATGCCGCATTATGATCATTGGAACAAGCATATTTATGGTATACATGTATACATATTCATATAATATATATATATAGACTCTGGTTTGACCTCCTGGTGCTAGGTCCGAGGTTTGCGTCAGAAAGATCCCAACTGGACATTTTGCCGGAATACTGTTTTCCATTTCGGGCTCAAACCTTGGCCAGCCAAGGTTTTGGAAAAAAGCAATCCCAATTTAAACGAAAGGGACTGCCTTTAACTTATTTTGGTCTCATGCGGCCTAAAGGCTTTCTCACTGGAGTTCCATATTAAGAGACCATATTTTAATGGCAGCATCCCTTGTGACCTTTGATGAGAACATAGTCGAGCACGGCCAAGCACCACTACATACTGCAGGGGAGATCCTGCGTAGTTCCATCAATTCTGGTCATTTGCACCACAAAACCCGTCTCGGCCGACCCTTCTCGTACTTCTTCACGAGATCCATGCCACCTGCTGGAAGCCAACTCAGCTGAGGATTAGATCCGGCAGCTCTGGAGGCCTACAGGACCACAGAATATATTGATGCTTCCATGGCGAGGTAGTTAGGTGGTACCTGAACTTTGAGTCAAAGCCATTTGAAGGTTGAGTTTCTGGAATTCATCCTGTATAGGTAAACCATTCCTGCTCTGGGGCTGACAAAGTGACAAAGGGCCCAGGGAAACTCATGCTCGTACCAAACATCAGGGAGGTATTGCAGCTGTTACGCCCCAAAAGAGAAGCACTCTAAATTGAAGCTCGTGCCATGCTCTAGCATACCGCTCAGACAATTCAACTACCAAGGGTCCGTGTTTCCTACTAGGTTTGGGTCCACCCATATGCAGTTGACAAAAAGCAGAACAACGAAGACGAAGCCAGACCAACAACTCTGATAGAGACGAGGTATGAGCCGATCGGATGGCCCGATCGGCCTGTGTCATAGAGGAGCATCTTCACTGGATCGCTCAAGATCTCATAGGCATCTCGGATCCTTGCAGAACACAGTCCACATGTCTCCACAGATGTTTCCACACGGAAAATGGATGAGTCTTTCAACAGAAAAACAACACAGAAAGGCTTACTTGGACAGCAGCACCTATAGTCGGACAGTATATTTACATATCCATGTATTCTCAACAGAGCATCATGGCCCATCTGTTTTCATGCCAATGATGTGGCATCCGCCGAACTGCCGATCTCTCTTCGTCTCGTGGTTGGGTTGGTCTTGGAGCCAGGCATTCTGTGTCACCGGACTGGTGGTCCCAAGAAACTGGACGTGTAGATGTTGGTGTTTGACGGTCTTTTCCACAAAGCAATCTGGGTAGCACATCTTGCCTAAGCCCTAAATGACCTCTCAACTTTGACTAATCCCCAAGCCTGTCGCCAATGGAGATTGCCCCCAAAACGCCCGACGCTTGCGCTTGGCGAACGGAAGCGAAACAAACAAGAGAAAACACACATCCACGCCTACCGAAGAGCTCGGCGGACTCGGGATTCTTGTCTGGGTGGTACTTGATGGAAAGCTCACGATAGGTCCTCATTGTGATCTCCCGGGCGAGCCCCAATCTGTGGGTTCGGCTCATGGCGGCATTCAAACTAGTAAGAAGCCAGTTATGTCCCTTACACAATGGACAGCATGGAAATCCTGGAAACCGTCAAGAACAAACAAACACACAATATAAGAAACATTCAGTATAGACCTTTATCATGAATTCGTCAGTATCTCTCAGTATGGGTTTGTGTCAACAAGAACAACTGGTCAACCCCAATTTGGTTTGAGATGACCTCCGTGTCAACACAAATCCACAGACGCAGCATCCAAATTCTCAGACTTGAAAGTGGGCCTTCTACTTGCAAAGCCAACCAGCCAATCTTGCGACACTACTCCCATGGTGGTGCGCAGAAATTCAGCCAGAACAGCTGCAGCGATTTGTGTCTGGATACAGTAAAACCCTGGGTGCACTTGGATACCCTCGGTTGTCAGGAACAAGCCATGAAGAAACAAAAGAGCGGAGAGAAACTCTGCTCCGTTTGGTCCAGTGCAGGCAGTTGGACCAAACATGAAAATATGTGTTTTTGTAAGTAGATGATGCGGGTGCCAATTATATTCAGAAATGATCATAAACCATACATAAATCATACATATGATTATTTTTTTCAATTGAGTCTAGCTCAAAAGGAGAACACCCTTTGCAAGCCGGCGGGTTTCTCTTGCCACGTGGGAATGAGACTACTAAGTGGGCGCAGGAGTTGCAGCAAGCCCAACATATTCCCGTATAAGTACCACCAGTATCCACCAGTCCTCTTCAAAGAAGCGCGATCGATATCTGTGTTCTCCTGCCGGCTGTTGCTGTCAGGCAGGAAGATTCAAACAGGCACAGGCAAATAGAGTGGTCATGCATGGGAGGATTTGGTAAAAGACCATGTTTCAACCACTCGTCAGGGACATTTAGTTCATTTTTGTTCTCAAATGGCTATGGCTCAAAAATTGGGGAGCCATCCCGGGATGACACAATTGGTCCCCTCCTCGATTCCCTTGTGCCATAGCCAAACCATTGACAATGACCCGGCCCTTGGTGGTTTGGGAACACGGTGGAGCAGCAAATGCACTTCCTGGGATCCCTCCCTCCACGATGCCACGATGCCACGATGCCAAGCCTTGCCTTCCCGTCATCTTCCATCTCCTTAGCTTTGCAAAACGTGGAAACCATGTGGGCATGGAAAAGTACCCCCCCCCCTCCCCTACGATGTAGCCGTACCACCAGAAGTCCCATAAATAGAAGCAACAAAAACCACGCATCGCCCCGCCTACCGCAGTACCCATTCCTCCTCGCCGGTCCGCTCGACCGGTTGATCCCCGCTACGCCGGTCCAATCGCCGAGGCACCAGAGCTTCGAAGAGCTCCGACAAGTCCCCGTCCTCCGCCATCTTCGACCGCCGCTTCTCGGCCTCCGAAGAGACGGGCGATCCGTTCGAGCTCCGTTCGGCTTCTTTTGGGAAGAAGATTGGGGTGGAGACCACTATAGTCACTATTACACAAATGTTTGGGTATTTATAGGCCACAGGTTGATGTTGAATTTGATCACAATCACACTAAGATGTGAAGAGCGTACTACAGTCGTTGCATTGTTGATGTATTGAACGGACTGAGGGGTCCGTTCATGATGAATTCAGGCCCACCAAACTTGGATCTCTCTTGACGATATGATACCAAAGGGGTTCTGTAGCTGGCCGGCCCGTTGCTGAGCAAGGTCTACCTGTCCGGTCGAAACTGACGTCGTGTCTGTTCCGATGATCGTTCGACGTCGCACGTCGATCGGTCCGGTCTCTCCCGCCTTCTTGAGAAAGTCAACCATGGTCCGCATGAGCCTCAGGCGGTCTCTCCGCCCAGGACGGCCAGGCCACTAACTAGATCCCAATAAAACAATAAGAATTACTGGGTACAGTACCTTAAGACTTAAAGCTTATTGGGCCAAACAAGGTATGTGAAAGAGAGGACCTTCCTTTTGCTTCGCCGCTGAACGAGGTCCCTGTTTCATGACTGATCCATCTTGATTTTGCGTCATGCGTAGGCTCCTGGGTGACTTGTCTATGAAGGGCGGTCCACACAAGAACAAACCAATCGCCCCTATTTGATTAAGAAATCTTTTCTCCACGGTACTGCTGTTGCTGAACCACCTCCTGCACCTCCCGGCTGGGTCTTCACAATGGATGACGATGGCAATTAATCAGTATTGTACATTTTTGTAATGTACTCAACAAAAAATAGGAGTCGCTTGATCATTGTTCTAACAGTTCTATTATCTAATAGACTGTCAACAAAAATACTCTGTTTGCATCTTTGGGTATCTTGCTTGGACACTTGAAAGTCCACGTTCAAACAACTTTCTTGTTAGCATGTTGTTTATCATTTTATCACATCTGCATGTAATGTTTGTTGTGACACTTCTCAACTTCATTAGTTCTGCACAATTCTTGAGACGAGGTTCTTCCTCGTTGGTCCATTTACCCTTCCAAGTGGTCAACCCAGGAAGTCCACTGACAACCCCCCAGAACCTGCTGTCCATTCCCAACCTGGGAAGGAGACAGCTGGGACAGTGAACATGCGAGAAGTCCGGCAGGAGTGAAAGGATCACTTCCTGGTCCGACCAGTGTTTTTACATTGAAATCTGATGGACCTCAATGCAAAGCTTTTCAACATCGTTTCTCTCCATGCGGCTTGTCCCGCGCAGTCTCGTCCACGTTGGCGCGCAGCAGCGCACGCAAGAGGTCAGCGACCGCCTACAGGACAGGAATCGGGACATGTGAGGCATTGGCAACACAAGCTGCACATATCTGATCGGCCAACAAGGTGCACTGAATCTGGAATTTGCTTTCTCCAAGTTGGACTCAAAGAGTGCGGACAAATGCATGCATTCTTGAAGCAACCGAAAAAAAAAAAAAACTGCCACTGAAGTAATCTAAAGTATATATATAGATTAGATGTACCATGAATATATAGATGAATATAGTATGTGATGCAGCAGTATTGGTTTTCTATAACACATTGTTCCACGGTTCATGGTTCAGGCCTTCCTCGTCCCATATTGGTTCATGAAAGCATTGACAGAAAAAAAAACAAAACAGATCCTTTGTGTGACAACATCCCGAAAACACGACATGTGATACACACACCAAACTATCTGACCGACCGGAGACCGACGTTCCGACTCCCTGGGTTCGGGTGTCTTCCGACATCTCGCTGACCACGAGATGGCGAGGTCCCCCACCTCGGGGTACTCCTCCTTCCGACCATGTTCAGCTGCACGGCGGCTGTACCTGGCGACCAAACACACGAGGTACAGCCGACCCCACTGAAGGGTGTCGTGTCACAGGAGCCGCACCTGAGTCATGTAGATGTGGTTCACAATAATAGACTCAAACACGCAATGTTTTAGCCTACATCTTCCAAGCCTTCCATCTACGGGCTAGCTTCTAGAACAAATACGTCCTATTTGGAGCAGTGTCACCATGTCAAGCACTACAGTAATTTGTGGAATGTCACATATCAATATCAGTCCATCTTTGTTTTCGGGTTCGACGCAGCTCCATCCACAACATGAAATCACCAGGGTTTGAGGGTTTTGAGCAAAACTGAACCTCACTGACTAACCGGCGGGACACTGTGCAAGGCTGCGCCGTGTGTAAAGATTGGCACTCGAAGCACTCCCTAGTGGAACATGCTCAAGAAAGATCTCAAGCAGCTCAAGTAGGACTCTATCGACCTCAAACTAGTCACATGAGATCGATACATATGGAGACAACCTGAGAGGTGTGGATACTGGCTTGGATTCATGGCAGATTGATGATGCCTCGCTTTGCAGCTTCAAAAGGAGAATCTCAAAAGACACTGCATTCTCTCCCAAGACTTTCACACCTTCAGCCCCATTGATGGTCACCAGTGATGGGCTGGCCCAGGCCTAGGCGTCATTGCCCCACCCATGAGGCGCACTGACCGCCCGTCTTGAGCAGCCTATACCGCTCCTGCCAACGCGTGAGGCTTGTTGGCTTCAAGTTACCATCATCACGCCACTAAAAAAGTATGAATATAATGCTGCTTGGTGGGTTCTTCTTTTGTGCATAGCGGGTGCACCAACAGACAGCAGGAACATCCCTGAGACAAAGTGTTACAGTCACGCACAGATGTTTGGAAGCTCGTGCTCTCTGCAAACACATTGCTAAAGTAGCCTCAACCTGGAGCTGTAATTTACAGGTCAAAACACCGCACCAATGACCCCATTCACGTGACCATGAGTCTGCTGCAAATTCCTCAGACCCAGCTCTTCTGCATCATGCAGAACGAAACATATCCCACCAAGCTGCAATGCACGTCAGACCATTATTCAGACTCCCTGGCGTTCCTTCAGTGTTCAGGGCCTTTTTTGTTTTTCAAATCCCGTGCTCCAAAGCGCCCCTCGCGGAGAAACAGCTACCTTCTTTCTCCACCGAAATCGTTGAAATCCATGTCCTAGAGATACTATCCTCGACAAAGCACGACAAAATTCTTGCCTCTATCGTTGAACTCTCCTGTCCTGTGGTGTGTTTTGGCCCAACATCTGGGGTGGCAAATAGCCAATGGCGCCGGTCTCTGCCTCCGCAACAAGTCATCCCAGTGAAGCGGACGAGGAAGAGGAGGGTTGCTGTTGCTGCTCCTGTTGTTCATGCTGTTTGGTCACTCTTGTGGTTGCTCTTGTTGTTATTGTGATTGTTTCAAAAGGCTGCAAGTAGTTGTTGCTCTTGTTGCGACAATCGTTCTTGCTGTTGAAAAAGGTACAGCGCTTAAGCTGGTACATACAAAACCTGATTGTGATATCAAACATGTGAGGTGGGGGTACATATACAAACACCAACCAAGCATTCGTGACTGCAGGCTGGGTTTCCACCTAGTTTCAGTCTTGAGCCGTTTCTTCCATCCTGAGTAATTAAAGATGTTTGGCCTGAAACTAAATCTGTTGGGTGGCATTCATTGCCTCATATAGCCCAGTTCCATTTCCACATAAGCATGAGCACCTCATTCAACCCAACATCTCTGTCTACGTGTCGGTTTCGGGGTCCTTTTCTTTTTTCGATGTCTATGCTGGGTGTCAGTTCCTCGATCTCTTTCAGGGCTGCCCCGCTCTGATGAGAGAAGGATACGCCCCCAGACCGGACGGACCACATGGACCATGAGCGTGTGACCCTCGATAGAACTAGTCGTGGTTTTCGATGTTCATCTGCAGGAATAGGCTATAGGGAACAAACTGGGAGTGTGTTTGGAATTGATCCACGACTGTGGTCCAGCTCAAGAGGCTTTCGTGAAACATGACGTTACAAGCCAATCTCCTGGACACGCTCAAATTGAAAACGGAGCGCCTAGGTTTTCGCCTACAGCCACAGGTCTTTGATTCAGAAAACAAAAGCAAAACACACAGTGTTTATAGGAAAACTTGTTTGAACAACTCTTCCATCAATGAACCCACGTCAGTTGCTGCAGTTTCAGAAACTAATCAAAAAAACATGGTGCGGCCTAAACTGCAACTCACAAGCCTCTTGCTCGAGCAGCTCCTGGAGCTTTCGCGCGCAGCTCAGCACAGCCTGCCCACACGACGCCATGCGGCCATACGGCCATATACTGTGCTCTATCAGGTGAGGACCGAAATGAGAAAGCGAAAGGGACAATCCAACAACCGACTGACGTGCTGGGTATGCGGGTATCCCATCAGCGTCCCATCAGTCATGCCACACCCAAGCATTTTTGGTCTGGATTTAATGATATTATATGTAATTTATTGCTATATGTAAAATAGGTTGTGAATTGTGTCTTTAAAACTTGGCGAGAACTCTTCAAATGCAAAGAAAACGACACCCATCTCGGCTGGACTTCCCCGGTCATGGCTAAATATCATCCTCATTGCCACGAAGCAACGGTAGACGTAAAGCCTGGAACTTAAGAGCAAACATAGTGATATATAACCATATCCAACAAATATATGTATATATATATACAAATTCATCCCAAAAAATGTTACAATCAGTGGGTTTTCTCCTAACAAAATACATATCGTTTAACGTACTATAACATATATATCTATATCTATATATATAAACCTTCTGAAGTCACTCGACTCCACGCACAAAAGGCAGTCCCAAGGCGTCTCCCAACCCTTGGCCATCCGATCGCCTCTCCATTGGTTGAGGCGGTCTTCCTTGGCACGTCGAGACATGCTCCGAGGTTTGCTTCTAAGGACCGATGACTTGACGACTTGGAAAGGCCTGTCATGTGAATTTGTGTGTTCGCAATGTTTTTTGCACATAGTCTACCCACAACCAACACTACAAGTAGAAAAGGAACATCATGATTCAACATTTACTTGTGGTTTGCCATGATGGTCTGGGTGCAGGTGATCAACATGGCAGAACCAAAAAAAACTATCCATAGTGGAGAATACAGCACTGAGTGCTCTCAAGCCCCAAACTTGCCCGGCTAAACACTCCTCACTGTGCACCAAGGACTCGGCTTGTGCGTCGCGGCTCGCGCGGCGGCTGCCGCTGCATCCTCGCCACAAAGCACTTGCACCTGGACCTGGCGAACATCCTGGGGATGAACATGGTCCAGGCATCGGCGAATCGCCGTTTCCCCTACCTCGTGGACCGGAACGCCGGACATTCCAAAAGCGGGGGCGAAGCGGCATGCAGCATGCATGTCCTGCATAACAAATCCGCCCACGTGTTTGCTCGGGAAGCGTTGTGCTTTGTAGTGGTTTTGAAGAGTGATGTAAAATGGATATGGAATTGTACCAAACATTGGCGATGCCGGCCATGCAGCCCGGGGCATATCGCATTATCAACATCGCGGGTGTATGTGCAACCCGGGGGGCACTGCACTATTGACATCGTGGGTGTGTTCGTCCCTGTGTCCTGCCCGAGCGAGACACAGACTGACAGACCGAGATGGGCAGACCGAGACAGACGCACCAAGACAGACGGACGGAGACAGATAGAGCGAGACAGACCGACCGAGACAGACTGACCGAAACAGACAGACCGAGACAAACAGGACACCGACCACCGAGACAGACCGAGACAGACATACCGAGACAGACCGGCCCAGACAAACAGACCGAGACAAACACACCGAGACAGAACCCTCTGTGAAAAGGCAGGTGAGATTTGATAGGGCCATAGCGAAACTAGCGAAACGCTTCTTTACGCTTGAGCCCGGTTAACATTTCCGAGAGCACAAGTTGCTAGTTCCCGGCTCCGCGAGCACAGGTCGCTGCCGAGCCGGTTGGGGGGGCTAATGATACACTTTTCCCACGTATGTCTGGATGTATGTGAGCATGGATGGATGTCTGTGTCTGTCTGTGTGTGTCTGTGTTCCCTTTACTCTGTGCAGGCGGCTTCGACCGCGAAGCGGTGTGAATATTTGGACACTGGCCCCCACCCTGGATTGGGTGATGATGCAGTTTGTCTTTTGACCCAAACAAAGCTTTGGGCGATTTAGGGCGGCTTCTAGGACGGGGCTGCACTCTATAAGCACGGAAACCATATGTTCTGCTAACAAGCGAGAAGGTTCTCATCTTCTATCATCTTCCCATGTCAGAATCAACATTTTTATTTCCCGGCCGGCCCGGCCACGCGTGTAAACGCACGTCATTACAAAAAGTGCTTTTGTTTTCTATAAGAGGTGCCACTTGCTAAGTCCACGGAGAAAGAAGGTAGAAGCTGTCAAGAACCTATAATTAGTTCTAGAAGCCTATACAACATGCTGAACTTGGATTCCATGAATTTACTGGGATATTTGCTTTGAACAATCTTTGTGTGGGATGGTCCAGTCTTCAATTTTGATCCCATATTCCAAGCGCTCACTAAGTAGATGTGCCACTTTTCCTGAACCAAATGTCCAAGTCCAGGCAGGACAGCAATTAAAAATACTTAAAGCATCTGTCCTGTTGGAGGGAGGGTGTGGGCAGCGTTTACTTTATTACTTCTTGCCTCTGTAGCACTGAACAAGTGTCGTTTCGTTTTGGCATTGAAAAAGAGCGCGTTTTCATTTTGATTTCTTTTGTTTGTACTTTTTCCAGGGTGCATCCTGGATCATGGTGGCATAGGCTTGAGAGTCAGGAAGACAGTCAGAGAATGGTTTAGTTGATAAATATTTTTGAAGATGTTATTATGAAACTTTTATGAAAACAAATTGGTCCTCAATTTTGGGAGAGTTACTTTTTTGTTTAATGATTTTTAGTTATCTGTTTGATTGTTTTATGATTTTTATGAAGTATTTTATTGATTGTTTTATGATTTTTATTGGTTTTCACCAATCGACAAAATTTCATGAAATATTCACGACAAACATTAAATAGTCATATTTTCATGAAAAATCATTTTCAATGACTTTTTCATAAAATTTATGATTTTAATGCTTTTTTGTACGATTTGTAGAGAATCGAAAAAGTCATTTAAAATCGTAAAGTTTATGAAACTATGAGAATTTTATGTGTTTATGAAAAATTTATGAATATGTTATGATTTTTAATGAAAATTTTAAGATTTGTTGAGCACACCCAGAAATTATACTATAGTGTATAAATCACATTTTTTCGTAAAAAATTGTAGAGTAAAAACCTTTTTTTGTTCATAAATGCGGCTCACAAATTTTTAATAAATAGAATCATTAAAAACAATAAAACCGTATGTCCTAGCCTCTCCCGAACTCACAAGCATAGGCCTGCCTTTGTATGCATGTGTGATCTTGGGTCTCCTATTTGGTCAACCCATTGTAGAAAGCACAGATTATTTTGTCTAGATGATGGTAGTTTCATGTTGTTTCATGCTCAATGCCTGTGTCTTGGGTCGAATGAGAACACTGACAGGAAATCACACATGTTCTCACCCTCAAAATGATTAGTTTTCCATGGGTTTCCTGTGCATGTTCCCTTAAACCATTTCCGTGCATGTCTTTTTCGATCTTCTCTAACAATTTCTGGGAACTAAGAAAGGAGAAAAGTACAGATGACACTTGTTCAGTGCCAAAAACAAAAGGACACGTATTCAGTGCAAAAACGAAATGACATGCCTTCAGTGCCACAGAGAAAGATTTATCCCGGCAAGAGACCCCAAACAGTGTGTGCGAGGTCTTTAAGCAGAAAGTCAAGAGATCTAGACGCATTGGGGTCAAGAGAGGTGATGGTGGTGATCACTTTGGTGTCATTTTAGTGTCACTCTGGTGTCGCATTCTTGATGTGAACTGATTGATATATTGAAGAATATACCCTTTGTATTTACATGTTTGAAGAAAACTATGTGTTAATTTTGTATTTTTTGCCTCGTATCAAGAGGAACATCAAAGACTTACCAGAAATACTGCTGAAACCTTCGGCGTACATAACCAAAACAAATCCAAGCGCTCATGTTGATAGTACAAATGTAAAGACTGTCCTCTATGCTTTAAACAGCTGGAGATTAAAATTGAAAGAGTATACAGGTATTCATCCGGATAGTTGCAAGTGTTAAACTACACTTCAAGTGCAAGCCATACTCCAAGTACTGAACTTGTCCAGGTTTTTGTTCGATATGAGACCCAAGTGTGACTTATTTTTAAATGAACTACATTTACAATTGTTTCTCCAAGTGTTACCTTGTTCAAGTTCTACTTCAAGTATTAGTTCGACAGTAGTACCACAAGCGCTACTTCTCCAAGTGTTAGTTCAAGTGCTAGTGCACCAAAGAGCTCGAGTGTGACTTACTTTCAATTGCATTTGAAGTGCAATGGTTTGTCAAAGTGTTACCAGTGCTACTTATCCAAGCGGTACTTAGTTCAAGTGCTAATACACCAAACTGCTCAAGGGTTAGTTTATCAAGCCGTGAAACTAACCAGCGTGGAAACACAAGCAAAACAAAGCACAGCAAAGCAATGACGTCAAAATGTTTTCACTTCCAGCTTCAGGTCAAGGGAGCTAGCTCTGCGGCAGCGCAATCCAGGCCCAACAACACAAGAAACGACTATCTTGACTACAGTCTTTTAACTTGAATGCAACATGAAAAAAGTATTAAGTGTATGTTGGGGCCCATGCCTCTTAATTGCTTATGTATCATATTGGGCCTGCGTTTCACCCCTATTGTGAACAAAGTTCGACTCAGAAGTACGCCTGATTCAAGAAGTATCCAGCGCAAACATCAAAACATCACAAAACATACAATGAGCCCAGGCCCTGGCCACTCAAAGAGCTCTGAGGAAGCCAAACTTCAAAGTCCTGTAACATGCAAAGAGCTGGTTCTGGAAGCTGTCAATGAAAAACTAAAAGAACAACATGTAGATTTGAGAGCCCGGTCCTGGGAGGTTCAAGGCTTACCACTGCCAACGTGAACCAAAAACTATCACATTCACACATGCCTTTCACATGGCAACCCAAACAGCTGACCAAGACGGTGAAAAACACAATTCAACCTGAGGGTAACACCACTTTCTCAGGCTTGCATGTCCCTCCTTTTTCCTGTCTCTGTCATCCCCTCTGTGCTTTGTGTGGCGCTTTCTAAGCTCTTCCTCCGTTGCCACTTCCTTCTTCATCTCCTTCCTTCACCTCTTTTTCCTTCACCCTTTTTTCCTCTACCTTCTTTACCTTTGCGACTTCCTTCTTCCTGCACCTCTTTTTCCTCTACCTTCTTTTCCTTTGTGTCCTTTCTGTCCCTTTGCCCACAGCTCCTCAAGGTTGCCTGCCACAGCTGCTCTGCGAAGTACAGGGGCAGGGTGGCCACACATCCATTTTCTCTGTAGCGGGCTTTTGGGCCGGCGTCTGCATTCTTGCGCATCACCTGAACACCAAAGGGTGGACACCCGAAGGACCAGCACCACTCTCGGAGGGTTTCATGGCTCACATATACCATGGGAGGCCTCCTACAAAGAGCCTCATTGTTTACACAAAAGTGTGTTTGTGGTGTGGGGTTCTGTTTCTCTGGCTTTGCACATGTTGGTTTGCACAAGTTTGGTTCCTTTGGTCTGTATGGGCTTGGTTTACAGAGCTATATAGGCTATATAGGCCTTCCTTTGTGTTTGGTTGGTTGCGCTGGTTGTACTTGCGCCTTTATTAACATGTGCTGTCCACTGCTGCTGCTGTTTGTGCCCTGCTTGTGAACCTTGAACACAAGACAAAGCCATGCAATGCTGTTGTGGTAACGGAACATGTGGTTTCTCTAAACATGAACCAGCCAGGCAATGAAAACTTTACGTCACATTTCACATTGGCGCAGAGTAGAAGCACACCCATGTTTTCCTGCAAGGAAGCATTGAGGTCTCTGTCTACCAGCGTGCCCATCAGCTCTCCACAAGAATGCCTGCATCGATTTGTTGTGCAACTTCAGTTGCTTCCTGATGACCTTTTGAAGGTCCATCACACCAATGCAGGGATCCACAACAAGCCTCTTAGTGCTCAAAGACATGGCCGCACAAGAGCTACAAGCGCAAGTGTACCACAAATGGTCTGTATATCCTGCAAGAAGTCTGAGGCTTATGCTATTGCTGTGTGCAGAAGAGCTGGTGCAAGTTGTTTGTGCAAAAAAAGAACTTTCATTGAAGAAAGATGAGGA